TTCCCGCACATAGATGGATGGTGCCATCACCCGATGCTAACTCACCTACCCCGTGGGCCCACTCGACCCCACACCCTCAGAGGGCAATCGCGTACGAGACGCGGACTCGGGCACTGCAAAGGTGTAACCCTGGAAGCCTCTGGCAGTGCAGGACGCAAGGGCCTGCGGGACAGTGGCAGGATAGCCGGCCGGCAGCCGCCTTGTCCAGGAATGGGGCCCCACCGTGAGTGGAAACGCTGGCCCCTGGGACTAGCTAGGGACTTGGGGCATAGCTTCGCCTCAAAAGGGTAATTCCACCAAACGAAACTGTTTCATTCGTTGGTTGGTTCGTTGGGGCAGCAATGCCGCCGAAAAGCTGTAGATACCAGCCTGACTTTTTTCACCCCATACTACGATGTCCAGCCGCCACCCTCAGAGGTGCCCCAACCCATGGTAGCCCTCTCTCACTGGCACAAGTCGGACTTTTACTTCCCCTAAAAGAAAACCCCAAATGCTCTTTGTAAAGTCCGATGAAGTCGTTCTGAAGACTATCTCCCGGTTGGTTGTTGACACAGAAGCCCTGGGCACACACTATTTCTCTAGAACCGGGTCTCTAAATTCTGAAATCTCCTACACTGAGGCAGATAAAGACTGAGGCAAAGCCAGCCCCCCCCCCCATCCCCGAGGCTCACCTCTGACAGCAACAGAGGGCATCTGGGGTTGAAATCTTGGGCCCCAAGATTTTCCTATTTAGGAATTCACCAAAATCTAAGAAAATATTGAACCCAATTTGATGAGAAACAAAGGCTCAGATATTCTCTTAGCATTTCCCTGATCTCTGAAAAGCAGTTAGAGAGCCCCCCCCACCAGGTTGTCGTCCACTGCTGAATGAGGACTAGGGTGTAGGGTAAAAGCAAAAACTACCCAGCAGCAGGGGCAGGCCGGGAGAAGACTCCCTGCCCGCCGGTTCCCCTGTGGCTTTGGGCCTTGGTGCTTCCACCAGAGAGGGGGAAAAGGAGTCTAGGCTTGCAGGTGACGCTGCTTCCTTCCACGGGGGCAACTGATAACGAGTGAGATAGGCTTCCAGCATCCGGGGGAGAGTGGAAAACAAAGCCGGCCCTCCGCTCCACAGAGAGTGACCACCACCACCACTTTCTTAGCCGTCCTGGATTCCCATAGCTCAACCATTCCCCAGAGCCAGAAAGCACAGTAACAACCGTGGGTGAGCACAGGCCTGGAGAGCCATGGGCCTTAGGAGCCATGGAGAACGCCAAGCCCTGTCCTTCCCATTGTACCTGGTGGCCAGTTGTCCTGTCCAGTCAGCGTTCCCACACATCTCTGCCCCTCAAAGAAACTTCAATAGGCAGGAACCTCTGAGAAACTGACGGAATCCAACAGGTTGCTCAGAGTTCCACCTGGGCACTATGGGTCTGTCTGTAATTCGTTGTATACCAAAAAATCAAACAACAACAAAACAAAGAGTTTTTATTGGGGAGGGGGTCTTAGATGAGGCAAAAAGAGGTAGGTGGTCCCCGATGCACTCCAAAAACTGGGTTTTCTAGTTTGAGCTTCTCCACAGCCTAAGAGGCTTAGGGCTGGAATGTCCCAAAGAGTCACGGATGGCCCTGGGGGCAAGCCATGGCACATTCCTTCCTTTTCCCTAAAATCTCTTTATTCTAGGAGTGCAGAGTTTAGGGCACACAGGGACATAAGGATGGTCCCCATGAGAGTCCCTCACTTGGCCTTCATAAGAATTAAATCACTAAACCATCCTTTGGCCAGATTCTGTTTCAAATACGTCCAGCTTCAGCAAAGGTCCGGTGCTGACTAGGACCTCCAACACCACAACCCTGGCTCCTCCGGATCACAGTCCCCAAGTTTCTAGAATGGATCGCTGGCTCTGCAGGCAGTGGGGTGGAGAGTGGAATTGAACTCCCCAGCCCACCGGCTTCAGTAAGCCCCCTTCCCTCCACTCCTCCTGTCCCCTCTATGTGATCTGGAGGCTGAAACAGCAGTCAGACTATGGAACGTGAGAACTAAGATTCAGGGAGAGGTCAAGCAAGCCAAGTCCCTAAGCCACACATCAAACTGAAGGGGACTGCCGGGACCCTGAGCTCCAGAAAGATTGTTGGTTCCTACCTATGTGCACGCTCATGCTCACGCGCGCACGCGTGCACACACACACTTGGGAAGCCCTTGCTTAGCCTAGGACAGTGGGTGAGGCAGGGTCACCCTCTTCAACACACTCAGGATCAGGGTATAGCCTTTTGCTGGTCCTTCCCCTACCCATGCTCATTCAGTATTACTTAAAAACAGACTGCCCCACCAGTCCCCATCCGTCTTGGTGCTTCTTTTGGGGCTCCAGGTCTGTGAGGATAGTGGAAGGATTATCTTAAAGGGTCTGAACACCTTTCCACCCACTTGGCAAACCTGGAGGTCTCCAAATAAAAAGAGTGCTGTGTCTACCCAGAACAGTGCTAGAGACTTGGGCCCAGAGGGGCATGCAGAGGGAGCTTAATAACTGCATTAATGTGTCCACAGTGGAAGATCAAGGAGTGAAGGCACAAAACAGTCCCCATCCTATAGGTCCTGAGTCATAATACCCGTGGGCAGACCATTTCTGTTGTCCCCAGGCAGAGGGGCACTGGGCTTTCCCACCTTGGACTGCCTTTGATGGGCTTAGAACATCCCCTGTAACCCCTGCTACCAACTTCACACCAAACAGCACGTGTGTGTGTGTGTGTGTGTGTGTGTGTGTGTGTGTGTGTGTGTGTGTCCGCGGGCACACAGCATCCATCAGGGGTGCAGGTGTCCATGTGCACACTGCCATCCTTGTGAGCTCAGGGCTGCCCTCTGAGGTAGTGTCGCCCATGGAGAACATTGTGGGACAGCTGTAGCACCTGAGTATCTCCTTGAACGGAGGCGTTTGCTGCTGTAGAACATTCAACCAAGAAGTGGGGTAAAAGGTGGAGCCGAGGGACTGCTGGTCAACCATGCTCTGCCATGGTCAAGTTAATTTCAACCTAGAGGTGATGAGCTCCACTTGCAAGGAGAAATCAGAGTCCCTGGGCCTAATTCAGCTCCCTGGGAAGCATACTCCACCAGCTTTGCCTAGATTTTGCCTCCTGCAGTCAAACAGTGAAAATGGGCCAGGCCTAAAGAGCTGGGCACCTTGGAGGAAGGCCAAAGGAGTAAGAGGCAATCTTGGTCCCACCCTGCATATCCGCCCTTGCCCCCACAATTCTCACCAAGGAACCCAGCCCGGTTCCCTCTGGTGATGGAGAAGGCAGGAGGAGGGTCAAAGGCAGAGCCTTGCACGAAGTGCCACTACCACACTGACACCTGTAGGACCTGTCCAAGAAATGACTGCAGAGAGAAAGATGCCCTGGGCGCTGGGCGCTGGGCGCTGAGCCTAGAGAATGGGGAAGTGCTTCTCCCCCAGGTCCCACCTACCAGGGCTCCCACCCCATCAGTGGCTGGTTCACGGTGAGATCTGCAGATGAACCCCAGAGGCAGCCTATGGGTCTCCTTGTGGCCTGAGAAGCAGGTTAGGGCCACCTCAGTTGTGACCTGTTTACTCAAGACGCTGAGGTCCCTGGGCCAGTTAACAATTGTTGGATAAAATCCCTGGACAAACTTCATTGAAGCTTGAGGACTTAAGGAGGGGACCAATCTTGGGAGCCTAGGGGGTAAAGTCTTTGCTTGGCGAGAGGGGAGCTCTGCCGTTATGGTTTCCTAGCACTGTGTAGGAGACTTTAGGCTTCCCGGGCTCTCAGCGCAGGATCTTGAAACAGCAGTCACCTGGCCTCCCAGGCCTATGTCTGAAGCCTTGGAAAGTCAGAAAGCAGGCCCCATGCTGCCCGCGGGGGGGGGGGGGGGCAAAGTTACCCTAAAGGAGGGCAGAGACTGGCAAGGTCTACCCCGTGGCTGCCAAAAAACCCTGATCTTTGGAGGTGGAAAACAAAGGGGGAGGTGGAAAAGGTAATGGGCCTGGCTGGGCTCTTGGGGTCTCCAGTCCCGCTCACCACGGCCTAGAGCCAACAGAAACGTTTCGTCTGATTAGAAGCCATCATTTCTATCCCAATCCCGGAAAATTGACTGCGGTGCAGAGGAAGGCCTGAGAGGCAGCCTTAGGGGAGAGTGTCCAAGCTAATTAGAAGACAGCATCCGGGGGCCCATTAGAGCTCGCAGGCTGCTGTCACTCAACCGGCCCGAGTTCCTGGGAGAAGAGACTGGGGAAGGAGGGGCCGGCGGCCCCTCGAGGACACCGCTGGGAGCTGCGGGAACCGGGAACCGGCCCTGGGCTCGGCCCCCGCCCTAGCGCTAGCTCGCAGGCGCCGGCTCAGAGCGATCCTGCTCGGCGAACCTTCACTCATCCTAGGTTGTTCTCGCCAGCGGCTGGGGACTTCGAAGCAGCCCAGACAGGAGTTGACTCTCAGCGAAACAAGTCATTTGGGGCCCCAAGGTGGGCACCGGCCGCGCGGGACTTGCAGGCCAGATGCGTTTCTTTTGTGCGGCCGAGGGAGAAGTCGGTGTGTCACCCGGGAAGGAGGGAGAGGCGCGGTGAGGCCGCGCAAAAGAAACGCATCTGGCCTGCAAGTCCCGCGCGGCCGGTGCCCAC